CGGACTCATAACCCAAAGGTTGTGGGTTCGAGTCTCGTACCGGCAGGGATTGTAGGTGGGGGGAGTGAATGTACAGCGCTCTCTCCCTCCTTCAATACCACGACTGAGGTGCCCTTGAGCAAGGCACCGAACCCCCAACTGCTCGGGCGCTGCTCCGGGTGTGTGTTCACGGTGTGTGTGTGCACTTTGGATGGGTTAAACGCAGAGCACTAATTCCTAGTATGGGTAACCATACTTGGCCACATGTCACGTCACTTACTGATATTATCTTTTCTCATTGTTTTCATCTTATTTGTACAGCACTAAGGTCAACAACGGTTATTTGTTAAATGTCAGGAATTTCCCCTGCTTATTAAGAAGTGACGTATCATATTCATTACAGTAGAGGACGGATGAGATCCTCAGCATGTGTATGACAAAGTGCTCATTCTGAAATCTGAATTAAAGATACCTTAATTTGCCTTGTACAGTTATTCAGATCTGTTCATGTAATCGTGTTTTTATTCATACAGTAGGCTATACCTGCAAATGTTTCAAATGATTTCATTTACAGCATTCATTTTGAAGCAGGCAATGATTTAAACATTGGTTACATGAATAATTAATTCAACATACATAACATTTATGGAAACTGTAATGCTAGTAAAACGCCATAGAATTTGCAATGAGCGATCCAGTGGATCGGGCTCAGGATAGCCGACACAGATCAGATTTAAAAAAAGCCTAATCGGCCCTGATCCCCATCCTTGAGATCGACTCGGGACATCCCTAAGTTCAATGATTCATTAGTCATGTAAGGTCACTTTAGATGGTTTATCTGACGGCAAAAAAAATTATTGACTGTGATGTTAAATACTGAGTTGTTTTCATGTATTGTGTCAGGATAGTCGTGCAAAAGAGGTTAAATACAGATTAATAAATACATTCATTTGTGCCATACTTGTTTTATAATTGTGAAAAACCACTTCTGTGATGTTTTCATGCTCTCTGGTGCTTCAGTATTTGAATAAAGAGCCTCATACTTCAGCAAAATCAGAATGTAAATCAGTAATTAGTGTCAGTGTCTTACGTACAGTACTGACAGTGTTTTGCATAACGTAATGTATAAAGAGTTGGGTAGATAGTAAAAGACAAGTAAAGGGAATATGTTGAGAGAAGAAAGTTAATGTACTGGTGAGAAGATCGGTCCAGAGCAAGTAGATTTGTTTTGTTGTGATCAACTTTAATCTAAAGGTGTGGGAGTATTATTTTTCTGCATTACTACGTTGCATTTTTAATTAAATATTGTTTCTTTAAATTATTAATGTAAGATAATTAAAATTTAGAAACAGACATGTATTTCAGATTGACAAAAACACTGGAATGACATGAACAAAACCTGACCATTAAAAACACTTTTGTTGCTAAAATTGATGGATTTAGTCATTAAATGCTTTGTTTCAATGCCTGAAAGTGTTTAAAAACCCTGATTATAGAAGAAACCGACTGGACTTTCAATAGCACAGAACTAAGCAACATGTCGTATTCTTGTGATTGATTTCTTTCAGTGAACAAACCTGTGAAGACGAGATGATGCAGAACAAGATTCAACTCGTTGTTTTGCTCGGTGAGTGTCAGTGAAAGAAACTGACGTCAGATCAGAGGTTTAGAGAAACGTAACACTGTTGATTTTCCTGCAGCAGGAATCCTGTCGAAGGCTTCATGCGACCCGTATCGATTCGTCCTGGTCGAAGAACTGAAGACCTGGGCAGAAGCGCAATCGTACTGCAGGGAGAAACACACGGATCTGGCGACGGTTCAGAGCGATGAAGACAGAGCCAAACTAAACGAGGCAGCAGATGCTGTGAGCTTCAGATCTGTCGCCTGGATCGGCTTCTACAAAGTTGTTTGGCGTTGGTCGCATCAAAACACGATTATAAGATATGCGAAGTGGGATTACTCAGAGCCAGACTTGCCCAAAACACATGAGGCCTGTGCAACTATAAATGAAAACGGACAATGGAGTGATACATACTGTACTGAACTAAAATACTTCTTTTGCCAAACTGGTAAGAAATTATACAACACTTTTGTTAACTTATTCTGGATTTCAATTTGAGCTTTATAAAATTCATACTCGCACACCTTATACACACTGCAAAAAAAAGTTCTTGCTCAGTATTTTATCTTGTTTTCCAGTATAAATATCTAAACATTGTTAAATCAAGACACATTTGCTTGAGAAACCGAATGACTAAAAATATCAAGTCTCGTTTTCTGAAAAAAAAAAAAAAAAAAGTATATATTATTCATAAGAAAAATATCTGCCAGTGGGGTGAGAAAAAATCTTGTTTTATGTCAACAATATTTACATAATGTCAAGTTTAAAATACAAGCTTGATTAGTACAAAAGCTCAAGTGGAAGAAACTTGTACACTATTATAGTTAATTTAGTATTTTTCAAGCATGTTTCTCTGTCCTGACAACAAACCTGACTGTTTACAGACAAGGAAAAACTTCAGGACAGGTTTAAGTACGTCGAAACAAACATGAACTGGCATGATGCTCAAATGCACTGCAGAACACAAGAAATAGACCTGGCCAACGTTACAGACGACACCGAGAACCAGGAACTCGCGGACAAGCTTAATGAAAAGCATGACTCTGAGGCCTGGATCGGCCTGTCCAGGAGCCCGTGGCTGTGGTCGGATCAGACCAGCGTATGGTTGTCGTCTATGAAATGGGAATCCGGGCAGCCTGATAATGTGAACGGCACTGAAGAGTGTGTGAGTGCTGATACTGATGGACTGATGGCTGACGACAACTGCTTGACTCGACAGCCTTTCTACTGCCGCGAAAACACGAAGATACAGCGTGTGAGATTCGCAGTGAAATCAGACGGATCTCTGGACGAATCCACAGTGATGGAGGCCATAGAGAAGAAGGTGAGATGATGCTGTATCTGTAACCCTATGGTGGAGATGCTTTTCTTTTTTCCAAAAATGCTAGTTATAATGTTATCGCAGTGGGCTAATACTTACTGGCTTTTCTCAAAAAAAGGAAAAACAACCTCCCAATTTTTCTTGGGATAATTTTTGTACTTTTTGGGCATTTCCTCCCCACCTTCTTACATCTGTGGTATTCCTGGTGAAAAAAATGACCAGCCTACAAAAAATGTATACATTTCATGGTATGCTATATTGTCACCAAATATTGCATTAAATCTTTTTGTCAGCTTGTTTTCTTTTAATTAGCACGGGTTTTAGATTTACTTTTGAAACTTATTGATCGTAGGCCTCATTGATCTGTCAAAAATGACCATTGATTGAAAACGAATGGGGGAGATCGAAAATAAGAGAAACATTTCAAGTTCAGGAGCACGTTCATCATGTTTATGTTCACTTATGTACATGTGTGCTTGCATACATAAAGGGATTTGGACCTGTGCATGCGTGGATACATGCATACTCGCATTAAGGTGCGCGCACACACACACGTTTATGTAAACAAACAAACTATTGTGAGTATTACAGGCTTTCTTTTTTCACAGAGGTGAACTTTATTATCAAAACATTGAGGATCAGATCAGTTAGGCCAGGGGTAGGCAAGTTCGGTCCTAGAGAGCCGCAGTCCTGCAGAGTTCAGCTCCAACCCTGAAAACAAAACTCACCTGCCTATAGCCTTAGTAATCCTGAAGACATTGATTAGCTTGTTCAGGTGTGTCTGATTAGGGTTGGAGCTGAACTCTGCAGGACCACATGCGGCTCTCTAGGACCGAACTTGCCTACCCCTGAGTTAGGCCTACGATCAATCAGTTCCCAAAATGAATACAAAACCTGTGCTAACTGAAAGAAAACAAGTTGTCAAAAAGACCGAATCCAATACTTAGACTTATAAGTTATTTTTTGTAGGTTGGTCATTTTTGACCAGTAACACCACAAGTGTGCCTTTGTTCCATTTTGTACAAAATAAAGCATTTCAAAACAAACATATGTATTACAAATGCTGTCTTAGCAACTACCTGAAATAAAATAAGCTTTTATAATTTATTTCAGTTGATGCACTGCAAAAAAAATATTTTCTTACTCAGTATCCTTGTCTTGTCTTCCCGTACAAATATCTCAACATTCTTAAATCAAGATACATTCAAATTACGCAAGATAAATGACACCAAAATTAAGTAAATTTTTGCTTAAAACTAGAAAAAAAACAATAATCTGCCAGTAGGCTCAGAAAGTGTTCACTTTGAATACATTTTAAATTTTATGATCCCACTGGGATGTATTTTCTAAAAAATTAAATTACAAAATATAAATTTTGGTACATTTGATTCTTATCGTGTGTAATTCAAATAAATGGTGATTTAAAGGATTAGTTCACTTCTGAATTAAAATGTCCTCATAATTTTCTCACCCCCATGTCATCCAAGATGTTCATGTCTTTCTTTCTTCAGTGGAAAAGAAATTAAGGTTTTTGAGGAAAACATTCCAGGGTTTTTCTCTATACACTCTTAAAAATAAAGGTGCTTCACGATGCCATAGAAGAACCTTTTTGTCTAAATGGTTCCATAAAGAACCTTTAACATCTAAAGAACCGTTCTGCAAAAGGTTCTTTGTGGCGAAAGAAGGTTCTTCAGATTAAAAAAGGTAAGAGAGATGGTTCTTTAAATAACCTTTGACTTAATGGTTCTTTGTGGAACCAAAAATGGTTCTTCTATGGCATCGCTAATACAACGGGAAAGCCGCCGTTGTACTGGGAAAACTACGAATTGAAACTAGTGACTGATCCCCACTACATAACAAAATTGTAGTAGAAGAAAATACTTTTCAAGTTGCAAATGACAACATAAAACTGAAATCAACGTTCAAAGCGTCCTTCAGCAGATCCGCTTGGTAAGCCTGCAGTACTGAGATAGTATGCAGGGTACCGCCCGCCTGCCCAGCCGCCGCGTATGCCTTGCCCACGAGTCTAGATGTAAACTGGCACGGCTTCAAAGGCAAGGTAGGAGCCCTCCACGAAGATGCCTGGGGAGCAGCGAGATAACCCGCAAGGGATTCCTCCATCTGAGGCATCTCTAGGAAGCGCTCATCCAGACGGCCACTAGACGCGCGTTCCTGCATCTCCGCCGACCAGTCCAGGGTTAGCCTGGCAGTGGCGCGGGTCATGACATCCAAGAGTTCACCATACGCGGGTGACGAGGAGGAGGCGGTTTGTGATGTAGCCTCCGCCTCAACTCGTGTCACGTCTATCTCCTCGGAGCTAGACCGGCCGAGTAACATGCTCTCTGCCGGATCAGAAGAAACCGGAGACCGGGCTTCCTGATCCGATTCAAGAGCAACAGAGCTGGCGACCGAGGATTGGGATAGGGAGAGACCCGTCCCAAGCTCGTCAGCCAGATCTAACTGCGAGCCCCATGAGTGCAGACGGCGCTCTGCCTCGGCAGCAGCGGGTCCAGCTCCACGAGGCGCAGACGCTTGGCTTCTGTCCTCTGTAAACAGAGCCAAGTGGGAGCGCAGCTGTTTCACTGTGAAACGATCACAGTGGGCACAGCCGGTTCCCTCGAGAGCCGACCGTGCATGCTGTGCCCCCAGACACACCACACAAAGCTCATGAGAATCACTAGGTGTGATGTACCTTTCACACGGTGGGACACATCTTTTAACACTACGCTCAGACATTTATTTATTTATTTTTTCTCTCTACGTTCTGTCACACACGCACACACAAACAAAACGGCTGAAGACACCCATTCACTGATTAGTCTGCTCAGCGCCGCTGTAAGTCGAACACACATAATGCCGTCTGCTGGACTAAGCGCGCTCATTGCTGCTTGTTCTTATGATTTTATTTTCACCACCTGCGAACTCACGAAGAGCTCATAAAAGGCACTTAACCTCCTCGTTTGCCCTCTGTTAATTTTGTTTTGGATACACCGCTCGTTCCGCGTCGTCAAATCATGTCTCATAGCGTCGCATCTTGTCATTACTTCCTTTTTTTGGTTTGTTTAGAAGTACTTGGTCCGTGTTGCGTTCATATTTCATTCGAACCGCACCAGAGTTCGTTTGGAGTTCGGGTCATTTGAGTGTTGAATGCTCCCATCCGAACACTGGTGCGCACCAAACAAGCAAGCCGAGAATGCTAAAAAGATGGGTCTCGGTCCGCCTGTTTGGTGCGCACCAGTGTTCGGATGGGAGCATTCAACACTCAAATGAACCGCACTAACAGAGCAATCGCACCAGGGTTCATTTTAATCCAACCAAACATGACAAGTGTGAACGCACCCTCAATTAACAAAAATGTTCTTAGTTTTAGTTGACTGATGTCTGAATGGTCGTTCATTAATGACTGATGTGATGTGGTGTCTAGATGAAGCAGATCCTCTCGGGTCAGGACGTGAAAATCAGATACAGCATAACATGGAGCATCCAACCTGACGAGAAGATCTTCCAGCAGCAGAAAACACAAGAAAACACACAAGACACGGCAACAGCATGTGAGGAGCTGGGTCCAATGACACACTAGACTGTGATACGTACAATAACTTGTCCAACCGTTTATGAATCTTTAAGGTACAGGAATTTATAATAAAAGAGAGAACATGTTTATCACATTATCGCATTTATTTAATACAGTTAATGCACTGCCACTGTTAATGATTTGATGCTTTGCATACTGTACAAATACGTAAGAATATGAATAAGATCATCCTGGATAAAAGTACAGGACAAATGCATTTCAAATGTTAGCTTTTCATGATTTCATTGAAAACTGAGATATATTTAGTGCTCATTCATGCATTGGTTTGAATCTATTGCTATAAATGTATACTTTATTTAGAAAACAAAAATAATAGTCTAGTCTTGAGCTCCTCGAAGTAGTTTAGTTTTTAGTCATGTTGAAATATTAACATTTAAAAATAATACAGAATTAACGATTCAGACAATAATGAATTGGACATTTACAGTGTGTTTTTCTTAATTATATTTGTCCTGCTATGTTTCAGGAATCATATTTCATGCATTATATTTAGCAAAAAATAAACACTGAGGTGTTTTAGTAACTGATGAAATAATCATGGAAATTAAATGATTATACACTATTCATTTCAGTTTGCCATTGTTTACAACTAAATCTTTCCAGACAAGAGGAAAACTGTTTGTCCTGTGAAACACAAACACTACTTACATCTACTGTAATAAGTCCATCAATCTTTTATTGATCAGAGATAATATAATCTGCAATAAGAAATTTTGCATTTATTTAGAAATGTATGCATTCAGAAATGTATTTTAGAGAGCAATCATATATTATTCTTCATTCACTTTCATTCATTTTATTCCATTTCATCATACACTGTAAAAATGCTGCTGCAACTTGTGTAAAAATTTAAAAAAGTTAACTGAATATATTGTCAAGCATGCACACTTTAAGTTGAAACAACACATTATTGCTTATTCTAACATTGATTTTTTTAGTTTTTTTTTTATCGTGATAACTAATAACAGCAATGATTTTTACAGAGTATAATCATTTTAACCATTTATATACTCATTTCATTGATTTATTGATTGATTGATTCATTCATTTCAAGGCAGATGTTGTGAAGCAGTGATTTTTTATTGCTGTGGTTTCTGGTATAAAAACACTTGTTGGATTTGTGCTGGTTAGACAAAGTCTGAGCACTGAAACATACACAACTAATTTATTATTCAATAAATTCCGCTCATTTTCTCTCATCATTACTTGATCTCCTGCTTCTGCTCTTCTCT